ACACTGGTCTCTTTCTCTTCTCTCCGACAGTAGACCAGGCATTCCAAGTGAAAAACCTGCTCCCTCAAAACTAAGGAGGACAAGTATTTTGTTATGATGGCAATAGTTCAACTGTTCTAGCTGCTAATCCTGATTTAACACCTTTCTATAAAAGATCAAGACAAGTTGGATTTGCTGGTATTAAGAAAGGTGGGAAGTGTAATATTTAAAACAAAATACAGTTTATTATTTGGGTTCTTCTATAGAAAACATTTTCTGTATTCAGTTTTGCGTGAATTTATTTTAGTTCTTATAAAACCTGTGGGTTGATGCACAAGGTGTGTGAACCTCTTGTTCTTACATAAATGATACTGCTTAGGTGGCAGCAATGGAAAATTCTTTGTATTGTCTTTCCAACATCTCACTGATTTACATTTCATGTATCACTTTTCCAGAAGACTGAAGGACTTATTAGTTTCTCTTTCCTTTCAAGTCTTGGTCTTGCTGTTGAGATTGCCAACAGAGGTCCCAATTGTTATTTTTTTATTATGTGTACACAGATTCATTAGCAAAATAGCGTGAGTTAAATCAGTCTCACCCTTTGCATTCAATCTATTCTGGACATAGGAACTTATATTTTCTAAATGTAGACTCTCCAAAATTAGTTTGGAGTTTGCCTTTACTATTCCAGGACTGGAAGGCAAATACTTGAGAGAGATGTCTTTAAAAAGTATAGCTTAGCATTCAACAGAAATTTCCCTGATAAAAAAAATACTAAGAACATTATATTAAGATTTTGTTTTGCATAAACTAAAACTTAATAATATTTTATCTTTGCCATTAATTTACATATAATTTATGATGAGTAAAAACTTATCATAGCTTTGTCTATTGTAGGCTTCTCACAATATTGGAATTGCTATGGACACAGAACAAGGCTTGATTGTTCCTAATGTGAAAAGTGTGCAGGTCCGTAGTGTGTTTGAGATTGCCTCTGAATTAAATCGCCTGCAGTCCTTGGGTTCTTCAGGCCAACTGGGAACAATTGACCTCACTGGGGGAACATTCACTCTCTCAAATATTGGCACAGTAAGTAAAAAAAAAAAAAAAAAAAAAAAAGCACAAATGTTTACACCTAGATCTATTTCTTAAATTTATTTTTTTCCTTACAATATATACGTAATATCTATTACTTATTTTTTCAGACAATTGTATTTTTTATCTGTAACATGCATATGACACAGTGTACAAGAAACATACTGCTACTTGAGATGAACAATTTAGAATTATTCTGTAACTCATTTTCCTGACTTTCTTTTCTAGATTGGTGGTACCTATGCCAAACCAGTGATACTACCTCCTGAAGTTGCTATTGGAGCTCTTGGGAAGATACAGGTACAGTAAAATCTCTGTTATCCAGGATCCTCAGGGTAAGGGGATTGCCAGTTATGTAAAAACTCCAGTTATCGGAAATAACCAGGCAGGGTTTTCAGATAACACGGAGCAGAGGTGGGGGAGGAGGGGTGGCAGCAGCCTCACACAGAGCGGCAGCAGTGCGGAGTGATGGATGCAAGCTTTCCCCTGTGCACCCCCCACCGCGTCCAGCTGGCAGAGCCGGGAGTGGGAGGGGTGGTGGTGGTTGCTGCACACGGAGCAACGGCAGTGCAAGTTGCTAGATGGCGGCGGCAGCCACCACATGCATGCTTTCCCCTGCCCCCACTACCACTCCCCCACCCCCGCTGGTGTCTAGCCAGCCGGCTGGCCGGCCAGAAACTTTAATGTATTCCGGTTGGTTAAAGACCGGATAGCAGAGATTTTACTGTATATTGATTTAAAACCAAGAATATAGATGGTTTGATGGGAGTAAAGTAAGACACTGTTTACTGAAAATTTTCTATTTGACTTAAATGCTTTCAGTCAAAATATTTTTTTTGTAAGATACAAAGAAGCAATCTGTAAACTTTGTTATTGAAATATTATGGTGTTTTTTGTTTTAAGACTGAATAGGTTGAACACAGGCATAAAACATGTAAATAAAAATATTTTTCTCAGTGGCCCAGGTTTGTTTTTCAGAAGCATGTAATATTTGCCTCAGTATTTTAACAATCCCTGCAGTGGCAGGGCACTGACAGCCCTTATCCCCTGCTTTACTTGTGGCAAGTGAGGGTACTTTTGGTGTTTGGGGACAATAAGCCTCGTTGTTGTGTGACAGGGTTGATTGTATAGTTTTAGGAATGGGTTAGACAAGCACTTTTATGGAATGGTTTAGATAGGAATGATTCTACCTCAAGCAGGGGGTTGGACTAAATGGGGGTGGTCAACCTGCAGCATGTGTGCCACAGGTGGCACAGGCAGCCTGTGTGTTACACATGGCAGACTGGGGAGGGGCCAGCCAGCACAGGGCAGAGAGCAAAGCAGCAGATCAGGCAGGGAGCACAGGGCAGGAAGCAGAAATAGAACAGCAGATTGGGCAGTGGCACAGGGCAGGGAGCAGAAAGAGCGGCCAGTCAGGCAGCAGAAGGCGATTTGGAGTGGCACTCAGGGAGAGTGAGCAGCTAATTTGTGCCATGCCTGCCAAAGAGTTTGATCTCCACTGAACTAGGTGATCTTCCAAGTTCTCTTCTGGCTCCACTTTTCTCTGATTTTTATCAACATGTCTGTGTTTATTAATCTCTTGGCTTACAGTAATCAGAAAAAGTATGTGTGTGTGTGGAGAGAGGTGTTGTTATAGAACCATATTACCCTTGTGCAGAAACAAGAATTGCAGGGTTTCAACCCAGGAGAAGACTTGAAAAAAAATCCTCCTGATTTTTAAGGTTTGTTTAGTGAATTAGGAATTTAAAAGATTTTGGAGCTTTGGATGGTTAGATGATTAAAAACTTTAGCATGGACAACCAAATTAGCACAAATAAACCCTACTTTTTCTCGGTGAATAATACTTTTTATGTTTTCCCCCATGACCCCTTAAGCTTTTAGGAAATGTTAGTAGATAAGTGTCATTTGAACACCAACTGTGGAGGAGCTTCCTAAGAGGATATTTTTGAGTCAAGGAGGGATTTCTCAGTTAAATATGTCCAGAATGATATGTGGCGTGGCAGGTGGCCTGTGTGTTTGAGACCCCTTACACAAACAGTTGTGGGAAACTCTGTGTTCTATTAATGGAAATTCTATCATGTCTGCTTTAACAAATGCCAACATTCATGCACTTATATAGTTTATCTTTAGTTTCCATTTTTCTTTCATGTCTTAATTTCTAGGTCCTGCCCCGATTTAATGGGAAAGGTGAAATATTTAAAGCACAGATAATGAACGTGAGCTGGTCGGCTGATCATCGTATTATTGATGGAGCTACAATGGCCCGTTTTTCTAATTTATGGAAATCCTATTTGGAGAACCCTGCTTCCATGCTGCTAGATCTTAGATAAAGAAAACTAATGACATAATGTGTCTTTAAACTTTGGGGATTGAAATGAACATTATCAGAGCTAGCTATGCTAGTACATGTCCTTTGCTACTTCTCATACTATATGATTATGTTACATAGTTGAAAGGTTTCAAACACCTATGTCAATCTATCAGTAACCTGTTACATACTTTTTAATCTAATTGAGTAGTACTACAAGTTACTCTACATCAGACTGTCAAACTGAATAGGTTTTGGCGTGCCTTTTAAATATGGTGGTGGGAAGTTATGAATGTCCAACTCTGATTACATGTGCTGACTTCTGCTGAACTGACATTATCGACTGACAGTTTTCTGTACATCTGCAATACTTTTAAACTGCATAGAAAGGAAATAGTTACAGTTATTCCTGGGTAGACATATGAGTTTATTTTAACAAAGTAAAAGGAGTATCACCAAGTTCCTAAAAGAAATTATGCAAAAATTAATGTGCAAATAAAATGCCTTTATGCTCCCATTGTAGATGTCCAATAAACTTTTTTTAATGGTGCTAGCTTTTCCTCTCTTCATCTTTCTTTAACTGTCTTGCACCTGGGGGGTTCTTAGCCCAGGTGCTCTATATCCAGTGGCAAGGGAGTTGTCAGCATCCTTAATGATTGGCTTAGTGCACAATTTGAAAATATTTACGGGCATCCAACAGCTCTCTTTAGAACTTTTTTTTTCTTTTTATAGCACACTCCTTTGGGTTGAAAGTATTTACAGTTGCTTAAATACTCCTCTTACTAGAAATTTTTCTTTTGAGAAGCCACTGCCTATGAAAGGCTGTCATGATTAAGTATCCTATTAGTTGTTAGGTTATGGTAATCATAAACAATGTGACAAGTGCAGGTACCATGGTGTGAGAGACTGATGTGATACAGAAGCAGAATTAATGTTAATAGAGCATCTGGCTTAAATTAATCATCTCTAAATTCAGATGTAAATAAGATGGCAGATAAGATTCACTTCCAGAACAGGGAGCAAACAAAAAGGGTGGTGAAGATGGGAAGCACTTATTGGGAAATGAGATACAAAGGCAACTGTTGTGCATACAGACTTTTCAGAGAACCTGAAGTTGCCAGAATAATGCAGGAAAAAGTCATGCACACAACAGTATTAATTTGAGGGACAAAAATGGAGATTTTGTAAGAGATTCATCTCTTTTCTGGAGGATAAATAGTGGCCAAATATCCTTGCAGCTGAGGTCCCGAGTTGGTAGACCAAAGTTACCTGCAAGCAAGGGATCCTAAGAAGCAAGGGAGTATGGTGCAAGATGCATGAAACCAGAGGCAGAATCTCTGGTGTACTAGCATAACTAGGACAGGGTGATGAGGATGTGGAGTGGGAGGGAGAATGGAAAAAAAAAACACTGCTGCCACAACCTCACAATTTTGCTGGTGGCACAGTGGCATCAGAAATTACCAATGCACCCATGTATTAATGCTGTCCTGAGTACCCCACTACATTGTTAAGCATCTGCTCTGGTGTCTGATTGCTAAGAGTCATCAGAGGGAAATTAAGTGGTGAAGAAAGGATATAAATTCAAGAATTGTAAACTACTACTCATATAGGTTAGCTTTTACAGATTTTAAGACAAAATATGCTTATTATCTATTCTGAGTTTTCTGTTCTTAATAAAATTTGTCTAAAACCACAAAGATTTGGTTGTAATATTTTTTTCTTTTATTTGAGATTTGTCATGCAGGCAGTCCCGAACAGGTGAAACAGTCTTCTTTCCCATGTGAGATTCTCTATCAAAAGGACACAGCTGAAAGGCTACTCTCCTATAAATATATTGTTGCTGGAAGGGCTGCAATCCAGATAATGCACGTGTGAACCTTATGACCATGGATAAGAACTAAATTGAAGGGACTGAAGGTATGATTTGAGGTGCTAGCGCCTAAGAAATACTTCAGAGAGATGAAAGCCAGCCAGCAGGAAGGAGGTGGATTTCTAGCTTTGTCTGTCACATCCTTAAAGGAAAATTCAGTATTTTTGCAGTCAACTGTAATTATGCAAGTAGCTTTTTGAAGAAGGAAGGAAATTAAGCATTTACTGACTTGTACGGATTGAGGAAAAAGCTTCAAGACAGAAGACAACACAGTATCCCTATGAAATGGTATTGGAAGAATTTTGGGGTTTTAAAGGATTAGTGATGGATGTGTCCAATTCTAGTGTATCCTGTGTTGGTAATGACTGAAAAATCATTCCCATCAGATGAGATTATGATTTACTGGACATGTGCTCTTATGAGCAGTCTCAGTAAGAAGGAAACACATTTGTGACTTCTGCTCCGAACAGTGGTCTCTGATTACTGCTGTGCATGCCTCCAAGCCTACCTTCTAAAGGAGGATGAGTACGGTGGCATTGAGTATTGCCATTCCTAATTTTTTAGGGACCCAGTTCCAGGCTTGGAATTAATAAACCGTAGTTCCCTATACAGTGAATGTGATTCACAACACGAGCTTGCTGTGACTCGGCTAACAGAAAATGTTGAAGAATATAACCGAAATCCTATCTCTTTCCTGCACTTAGGCATCTATCTACAACTTTGAGTTACGATCCTATATGATGCTCGGATTCATAGTCCAAAACTGCTTCCTGGTCCTACTTGTCTGCTTCATTCCTCTGGGTACAGATAACTTTCGTGCTTTTGAAACACAGCTGGTAGTGGTGGTGCCGGTGCCCACCTTTTATTTATATAATACAGCAAGTATAATGCTGAGATAATGCAGGTCTCCTAGGTTAAGTGCCTGAGCCCAACAGGGTTCAAAACCACATCTTACTTCTACAAGTAAGGTATAGAGAAGGCTGGGATAGGATCTCTAGGCCTGCTGTTGAAATAGGGCCACTACGTAGAAAGGACTCCAAGATTCATGGGGCCAGAGGTAACGAGCAAAGGGAAGCCTGACAGTAGCACAGTGAAGGAGACACTCACCTGGAAGAGGAAGTCCTGGGTTCCAGTCCCTGCTCCCAACACTGTTTATGTATTTTATCAAATGACCAATGCAAAACAAGCTGTGCTGGGGCAGTGACAGGAACCCAGTCCAAGCTGTGCTCAGATCTTGAAGGATCTGTGGGTGGGGACCATGTTCTGCTGCTTCTCTTGAGAGGAAAGCAGGAATAAAAAAAGCTAAAGCTGTTATAACTCTATTTACTTCTTTCTCTTCAAGTCACTATTGACATCTGGATTTGGATAATGTCCAAACAGCATTGTCCTCCGTGATCTCTAAAGCTCTTACAGAGAGAAAAGCTGCCTGGATGGAAGCCTGAAAGGGAAGAAAACCACATTTCTGTATGCCCCCCGTCCCCTGATCCTGAAGAAGTCTTTATTTGGAGGTGTTAAGTCTTTGTCATTGGGTTCACCCTGTAGGACATCACAACCCTTTATTTCCCCTCGGATTGTGAAATAAGATAACGTCTGTTTGCTCTTAACCTGGCTTTTCCTCCATTCTATAAGATCCAGAATACTACAGCAAAAGGCAGAGCAGGGTAGTACCTTAGATACTAACCTTTTCAGAAAGGCATGAGCTTTTGCAGCTGACAGCCTACTTCATCAGATACTATGAATCATAGGCACCTGGTAGGGGGGGCACATGCTCCCCCTGAGATTGGTGGCCACCGCCGGCTTCTGCGGGCGGTTGCTGCTCACCACTCTGCTGTCGCTGGCTTCTGTGGGCGGTCGCTGCTCGCCCCCTGCTGCCACTGCCGGCTTCTGCAGGTGGTTGCCACTTGCCACCCCGCTGTTAACCGCTGCCCACAAACTGTCCCTCCCAGTCTCAGGAGACACCAGTCACCCATGCTGTGAATGGATGTCATTAATAGCATCTGATAAAATAGGCTGTTGCCTATAAGCGTAGGCCCTTCTGAATGAGTTAGTCTATGGTGCCACTCTTGCCTTCTGACTGACTTCAGACTAACACAGCTTAACAAATGGTCAATAAAGATAAAAGACAACAAGATTCCTGGAAAAGCAAGTGATTGACTGGGAATGAGTTAAAGCACTGGGCCCCTTAAGGCAGTGTTTCTCTACCAGGGTGCCATGGGGCTCTGGAGTGCCTTGACATCTTAAGGTTACTGTGGGGTGCTGCACAACGTTAGCACTGTTATTTGATTGACACAATTAAACCCATAATTTTCATATAGGAAGCCACAGTGTTAAAAACCTTCTGACCTGTTATGGGCTTTCTGAGTTTCACACACCAAGAGAGTTATTCTATTATTTTTCCGTAGTCAAAAAAAGAGCGACAACTAGGGGTGCCTTGAACCTATCTAGGGGTGACTCAAGTCTAAACCACTGCTTTGAGGGCATATATCTGACCCCAAGAAGTTTTCTGTGATTTACACTACTTTCAAGCCAGCTGTCTTTTTGAGGATGAAACTCCCAGCTCATTCTAATCCATGCTCACATCAATGGAGCAGTTCAGAGGAAACCCTCCAAAATTTAGTTTTCTGTATGGAGAACTGTATGGGCCCTTTATGCATATAATTTGTGTGAAGATTCTTCATTATTCTGCAGCAGAAGTAGTAAGTAAAGTGAGTTTTTTTTAATCCAGTGCTGCCTGATTAGGAGAGGTATACTAGTGCATGTGACCTCTAAATTACTTTATGATGTTTTTTGTTTTCATTAGTCAAGCACTGTACTGTTAAGTTGGCTTGTTTGTATTGTTATTTTCAGCAAAACATTGCAAGTGCGGAGCAAACAGTTGTCAGATTTAGTGTGTTTAGTTTTGTTACCAAGCATTATATGGTTCTTTTTGTTCCTAAATTCTGATGATTGTTTATTCCATAAAGAATTTATAGGGTCATGCTCACATTCTGAAAACTAGAAAGACATTCAAAGTGCTAAATGCTCCAGGGCTTTGCAAACTAGTCCCATGTGATACTTGCTATTCTCAGCATAGGTTAAAATTAGAACTAGGCTGGCATTACATTTCAATTTGCTGGAGTCTGTGTGACAGTTAAATGGTGTTAGCCATTTAGCCAGTACAGCCAAAGTTTATAATTTACCTTTGCTCTTGCATGGAAATCAATGAGTCATGAAAAAATCTGTGAATGCATCAGGTGATTTAGGTAAGTTCTTAAATGCTTCCTTAGGTCTGCAGGTTAAGGTTAATGGGAAATCTGGTTATTCAGGAGTAAGTTTGCAGCTGTTTGGCAATGAAAATTGGGAATGCGCTTTTGAATTTCTAGTTGTTTGTGATCACTCCGGTATTGTATTATCTTCCAGAAAGGGTAGGGACAAGAGGTTCTGGTTTCAGCTTTTGCAATAGTTCTATTGTTACATAGTTATATTTGCTTGAGAACAAAGGTTTGCAGTCAGGGCCTCAGGTATTTCATGATTCTAAAACTGTGGGAGTTTTGACTTCCCACCCCAGGATGGTTGTATATTTGAGGATCTAGATTTTCATCAAAAAAGAAAGGTTTATTGATTTTATGGTTCACATATTTTCAGCAGTAGTAGCAGAGACTCCATTCAGGGACTGATGTTCCATTATGTCAGGCGTTGTACAGGCATATAGAAAAAGCCAGTTTTCTCCAAAAGCTTTTAGTATTAGAAATAGGAACTGAATGCTAAACTGCTGGAGTGTTGTCTTTGCCAACTGCAAACAGCCTTAAATAGTAGCTCAGAACTATAAGTAGGCTGATTTATTTCGGTAGGTTGTTTGCCCTGAAGTCTAATGCTAATTTTGTTTCTGTTGTTTTGGTAGAAGCACTTGACTAATGTGTGTAGTCAGCACAGTTGGACACTGGGATAAGAAGTAAATAGCTAGTTATTGGTAAAGGGTATTGATGTGGAAATTTAATCTCAATGAGAGAAAGGAAAGGTATAATAGAAATGCTTATCAGTTTGAACACAGAAAAATCCAACTACCACATAGTCATTCTAGTGCTACAGCTGGCTTGTTTCTATCATGTTTAAAGGCCCAGTTAAAGGAAAAATCATGCTGAGAGACACTGTTTTAAAAATATGACCCTACACCAACCATGGGAAGAAGATTATCTGTTGTGAAAGAGTTCTACTAATGTATATAGTGGCTAGCCTTTCTACCTGGCTGAAACACATTTCAGATTTTCAGACAAGAACATGTTTGAGACAGTGATGTCTTTCTTCCTCTCGTTCCCCTTCCTTCATCCAATATTATGCTTTTATAATAAAAAACTGAGAGGCAATACTTAAATCAACTGCTTTTTATTGTATTTACTGTTCATAGTTCTACCATGCTGTTGAAAATCTGCATGAGCTTGAAACAACCCCAATCTAGCCCTCTAGACTTCAGGAGGATTAATATCAGATATGGGTTGCTTGATTTCAGCCCTTCTTCAGAATAGAAAGTTCAATCAATGCAGTAA